TGAGGCGCATATTGTTGTGAGTACGTCCCCTAATATAACAACTTTAAGAATCCTTCGAGATATCTAGGCTTCGATCTTATACCCTTTTTGTCTATTCCGGAAATACCTCCAAGGGGAGGTAGTGTCGAAAGGTTGTCTGAGTGTCGAGAAGTCTCTCCTTCTCTCCTCTTTCCCCCTTTCTTTTCTTGTCCTTCACTTCTCAGCTCTTTCTTTCTTGACATAACCACTTCTCATTCCCTCACTCATCACTTATTGCTCTTTTTGAGGCTCTTCTGAGGCGCATCCTGCTTGGGCTTGACCCACAGTCTAGCAACCTTAAGAATCCTCCAAGGTATTTAAGCTTCAGTCCAATATTCTTTCTGTCACTTTCGGTAATACCTCCTAGGGGAGGTGACATCGGAAGGTTGTTGGATTGACGGGTGATCTCCTCCCCTTCTCTTGTTTTCTAGTCTCTTCTTCTTCTTCTTTCCTTTTCTTCTTCTTCTTAAACCTTTAACCCTCAAACCCAACCTCTAACCTTTAACCCTCAAACCCAACCTATAAAGCTTCAACCCTCAAACGCTCACAAATTCTACCTCATCACTTTCAAAACCTTAGAGGAGGAATCGAGGGTCATCGACCCCTTTCCAGCCATCTTGCAAATGTGACTCAAGGCGTAGCGCAGCGCAAGGGAGCCGGAGCCAAACCGAGTCAAGAGGCAAGGGGCTTTCTAAATTGTGATCTAATAGGGCTCAACACCTGTGTGTGTCTCAACCCCATCACATGAGGTAGGTCCTACCTCACGTAAATCCTTCTTTTATTGGTTCTAGCTGCACACGTGTACACCACAAGCGGTCTTCGAGAAAGTTTCTTGGGCCGACTAATGTGTACCTCTGATGATTGGAGAGTGAGGATCAGAAATGGAAGAAGGTGAGAGATATTGTTCGATAGAAGGCTTTCTGGCAAGGGGGGAAGGTAGCTCTTAAGGTAGTTTTTCCTCTTGTCAAAGTCCTTCACATGGTTGACAGTGAGAAGTCCTCCATGGGCTACATATATGAGGCAATGGAAAGTTGCAAGAAAGAGATAGCCCATAATTTGGATAATGATGTAAGCCGCTATGAGCCAGATTGAAAGATTATTGATGAGAAGTGGGATAGGCAACTACATTGACCATTGCATGCAGCTGAACCCAACTTCTCATTATGCTGATAGGAATATACACACAAATGACACAATTATGACAATAATTTAATAAGTGTCAGGATGTGTTAGTCCCTAATCAGGATATCCAAGACATTACATGCGCTGATGAGCTAATACGTTACAAGTGCGCATTGAAGTCTTTTGAGAGTTCGATGGCGGTGAGACAAAGGACCAAATTGATCCAGGTAATAATGTATTTAACGCAATGCTCAAGTTCAATGTTCATGTTTGTTGTTTTTTATATTTCACATGTGATTGTAATTCATAATCAATATACAGCCAATTGGTGGAGCCAACGTGGGTGTAGTACTCCAAACTTATAAATGTTGGCCATTTGGATCTTGGGCCTAACCATTACCTTGTAATTTATTTTATTAGTTTACAGTTTACCAATTTGTATTAGTAGTTACTAGTTAGTTATTACTGATTACTATGTCAATTGTAAATTTGTAACATTTGATAAATTTGTAACATTTGATTTTATTAGATTCATACAAAGAAAAGAAATAGGCTGGAATCAAAGATGCTCAATGACCTAGTTTATATGAAGTAGAGATTTACTAAGAGAGATCAGAGTGATTCCCTTAGATAAAAAAACACGGATAATACCCTGGAGTAGTTAGTTGATGATGATGAGGTCAAGGGACATGAATGATTGACGTGGGATATGGTCATGAAGACCTCAGGGACATCAGCCGACCCTCTTATGGTCACTAGATCTTCTTCATAGAGGATAAGGGTGGCAGAGGAAGAGGAGGAAGCAAAGGTAGATTCACAAGAGACACAAGAGGATGATCATTATGTTGAGGAGGGAGATGATTCTAATGATGATGGGCTCGACTCTGATGCATATGATGCAACTGACCGTACTTTTTATGATGATGAGTGATGATTGAAGACTCTTTGAGTTTTCAAGTCTATATTTCATTCGTCTTTAGTTTTTATTTTCCTCCTCTAATGTGTATGTATGGACCATGGATATGGAGTATGGAGGAATTTATGTGGACTATCGACATTTGATGTCATATGTGTTATTTCTTTCCTTTTCTTAATGATGAATTGATGATTATCATCATTATCATTTTAGCCTTTTCTCAATTAATTGGGGTCGGCTAGATGAATCCTGGCCCGCCATTTTACTTTATTAATAGCCATACCCTCAGTGAGGCCATAAGTCCCCATATCTTTTTGGACTACTTCCAACCATGTCCTTTTGGGCCTACCCCTTACCCTTTTCAGTCATTCGACTTGAACTAACACGCACTTCCTAACAGGCCCTGTACTTGGTCGGTGCCACACATGGCTAGCCCACCTAAATCTACTCTCTGTCATCTTATCGCCTATTCGTGCCACACCTAAATTTTCTCGAATGGAATTCATTTTG